CTGCAGAGTCTGCAGACAGCTTTACAGCACTGTGCCCAATGGCCTGCGCCACCAGGGAGGCCTTCAAAGTATTTTTTAATTTCTTCTTTGATCTCCTCATTAGTCCAGTGGTCTTCCAGTAGTGTGAATTTCAGTCTCCATGAGGTGGGAGTGTTCCTTGTTTTCTTTTGATGATTTATTTCTAGTTTGATGCCTTTATGATCAGACAAGATAGTTGGAATGATTTTTGATCTTCATGTATCTGTTGATGTTTGCCTTGTGGCCCAGTATATGATCAATTCTGGCAAATGATCCGTGTGTGCTTGAGAAAAAATATGTCCTTGGATTTTTTTGGGTGCAGTGACCTGTAGATGTCTGTTAAGTCCATGAGTTCTATGTCTTTATTTAGGGCTCTAATGTCTTTATTTATTTTTTGTCTCATTGATCTGTCCATTGAAAGAATGAAGTGTTGAAGTGTCCCACTATATATGTATTTTCTTTATGTCCATTTTCAGAGCTGATAATAACTGTCTAATATATTTTGGTGCCCCTTCATTTGGTGAGTATATGTTATATCTTCCTGATTATTTTCCCCTTGATCATAATGTCTGTCTATGTCTCTTTTTACTTTTTTTTAATTTCAAGTCTATCATCTGATATAAGTATAGCTGTTTCTGCCTTCTTTTTGGACCATTTGCTTGTAGGATTGTTTTCCAAACTTTTACTTTCAGTCTGTGTTTATCTTTTGTGGTTAAATGTGTTTCCTGGAGACAGCAGAAGGTTGGACTTTTTTTTTTTTAATCCAACATGTTTCTCTGTGTCTTTTTATTGATGAGTTTAATTCATTTACATTTAGAGTTAATATTGATATCTTGGCATCTGCATTTTCCTTTTTGTTTGTCTTTTTGTGATTTTATTCCTTGATTTATTCTCTTCTTCTTGATCATTCCTCTGTTGGTTTTGGCTTTAGGACTTTTTGTAGAATTTTTTGGAGTGGGTGTTTAGTTGTAATGAATTTCTGGAATTTCTGTTTGGCTGAGAAGGTCCATATTTTTTCTTCATAGAGGAAGGGGAGCTTTGCAGGTTAAAATATTCTTGGTTGGCATTTGCTGTGTTGAAGTTTGATGAATATGTTACTCCATTCTCTTCTTGCCCGTAATATTTCTTTGGAGAAGTCTGAAGTTAACGAGATTGATTTTCCCCTGTAAGTTATCTGTTTCTTCCTCCTTTACAGTTTTGTTATTTTTTTCTGTTTCCTGGACTCTTGCAAGCTTTACTATTATGTGTCTTGTTGTAGTTTTCTTTTCATTGTGGTAATTGGGTGTTCTTCTCGCTTCTATGTCTATATTTGTCTCCTTTTTCATGCTAGAACAAGCATATTCTTAAGACAAAAAAGAGCATTGTTATCTGAGGACAGGAGAAGAGGTAGATTTTTATAGTCTGCCTGTTTTCAGACTTTTTTTAAAATTTATGTATTTATTTATTTATTTTATTTATTTATACAAGCACTGGCTACAGTCAGAAGCACGGGAGGGTGAGAGATTCACCAGAGCCAGAGCAGGGAGCAGAGCAGGCAGAAGGACCGAAGCACACTGCTGAGGGGAGCAGCGGGCGGCAGAGAAGTCTGCGTGCCATGTGGGACCCTCCTCTGGTTACCGGGGAGCAGCCAGGGATCAAACCGGCGCTGCAGAGGCTGCGGGCAGCTTCGCAACCCAGCACTCAACCGCTGCGCCACCAGGGAGGCCCTGTTTTCAGACTTTTATTAAAATCTGAGGTTTAGAATTTAGCTCAAAAAAGTTGTATTTTTTACTCTATATTTTTACCAGGTTTATTAGTTTTAACAAGAAATGCAACCTTTTACAGGCCCAATAAGCCAAGTTGTAAGTTTTTACTCTACCCATAAACATTTTGTAGGACACACAGGGAAATAGATTTTATTTTAACCTGTAGAACAGGCCAGAATAGTATTTTGAGGGGGACACAAGAAGAGTCCAGTCTCCTACATCAGGAAGGCAGTAAATACGTGCCAATGATCTCAACACTGGAGAAAAAGTTCAGGCAGCTACTCGCTGAGACCAGAGGAAGCTGCCACCTCAGCCCACCGCAGAGGGTTGATGCTGTTTTAATAAAAACCTTTTAGTCTCATATAGTCATATAACCATTTCCTATAACTTATACAATTGTGAATGAACTTTAAATACCATATTTTAGAATTACCTATTTTATTTTGCTTTAAGGAACAAATGGCAAAACTCTAATGTCAGAGATCCTGGCCTCCTCCCCAAATAATTAACAGGAAAAGCCTGAAGCATTTCTCCCCCCAATTGATTTTCGTGAAACATTTTTCTATGAATGGCTCAAAAATCTACTGGAGACAGTAATCTCACTTTTGGGTCTCAGCCACACCCAAACTGTGGTAGCACCTCAAGAGGGGGATTGAGATTATTAATCATGTTTTTAAGAGAAAATAGACAGGGCCTCCCCGGTGGCGCAGTGGTTGAGCACTGGGTTGCGAAGCTGCCCGCAGCCTCTGCGGCGCCGGTTCGATCCCCGGCTGCTCCCCGGCCACCGGAGGAGGGTCCGACATGGCACGCAGACCTCTCCTGCTGCCCGCTGCTCCCCTCAGCAGTGTACTTCGGTCCTTCTGCCTGCTCTGCTCCCCGCTCTGGCTCTGGTGAATTCTCTCACCCTCCCGCGCTTCTGACTGTACCCAGTGCTTGTATAAATAAATAAATAAATATAAAATCTTTAAAAAAAAAAAAAAAGAGAAAATAGACAGACTCAACTGAAAATTTCACAGACTCTGGGTCTGTGGACTTTTCACCAAGCTGATAAAGAAGGGAGAAAGAAGATAGAAAAGTTTGAAGTGAAAACATCACAGACTATGGGTCTGCAGGCCTTTATCCAGGTTGTTTTTTAACGTTTTCATTTTGTCCCATTGTTACCCGGAAAGTTCTGAAGACTTCCTCTACTCCCGGGAATGCTTACCTTTGGCTGTTCAATTGGTGGTGTTTCTTTTTCTTTCTTTTCTTTTTGGCGTTTCTTTTTTTTTCTTTTCCCCATGTGTTTCCTCCACTTAGGTGGGCGGATCCTATCTTCTTCCCTCAGGTATCTCTTCCGGCCCCACTTTCCAGAGTCCAGCTCCAGTGACCAGGGTTCAGAGAGGAATCCAATTGAACTGAGGAAATAATAAAGAAAAGACAGACACAAAATAGAGATAAAGAGAAGCGGGACCTAGTGGATGCAAGGCCTCTCATTCCTGCTCAAGCTTCCCAAGTGTCTGGTGCAACTTGTTTTTACTGATACAAGCAGCCCCCTTCCCTTGGGTTAGTTACTAGGCAATGAGGTATTCTCTTAGCATTTGGTCTGGTCCAGGCACACATTCACCACCAAGGTTTCACACTATCAGGTTGTTCTGTTTCTATTTCTAAACTAGTCTGTCCCCCAGACATAGTTTCCCAGACACAAGTAAGAACATCCCCATCTGTACAGTCACGACCTTGATGTCTTCCTTGTCTCAGCGCTGCATCCTTAGGGGTCCCCAACACACATGGGACAGTAGGACTCCTTTTTCCCCCTTTGGGTACCACACTTTAGAACACAGGGGCATATGAGACATGGGGTGCTTAAAAAACCTTCCCAAGAGGTCCCACTCTGGGGTTTGGACTCAAGCATCTGACCCAGCTCTCTTTATCACTGGAGAGAGCTGTAAGAGAAAGGAGAAGGAGGGGGAGTAGAAGTCTAGAACTCTGACTACTGAGTCTAGGGCTCTAAGCAATGTGAGTGTGGTTAGTATGACCCAGACATAGGTGTGTCTCAGGGAAAAGCAAGGTAATAGAGGACAAGCATGAACTCTGCTCTTCATTTCTTCTTATATTCTTTATTTCCCTTTAGCTGACATATTGTCTTTTTTTTTTTTTTGTGGTGCCAGACACTGTACTTAGTCCCTAAATCTACAACCACAATAAAGCTCACTCTATTATGATTATCATTGTACCCATTTTCACTGGAGGAAATTGTGATTGAAAGAATGGGTATTACCAAATCCAGGCAGCCATTGAGTGGGGATTGGAATGCAGACTTGGACATGTCTGATTCCAATCCATCCTCCAGCAGGGGTCTCTGTCCTTGCATAGTATTGGAATGGAAATGCAACCTGGAAGGGGGATTCATTTTTACATTTGCTGAGTAGAAAGACCCTGTAAAGTCATATAAATGTGAAAAGATTTTCACAGGGTTCAAGACTCATAGGATTTCATGACATACCCTAATAGCTAGACTGGTGTGCCTGTGAGTTAGATGCACTTCCTTCTCACCATAGAGGTTTTCATACCACAAAGCCTACTGCTGTGAGTGACTGTGCCTTTAGTGTACTGTAGGTAAGGCAAGGAGCTCATTTTGAAGGAACGGTTTCATGGGTGTAGCACTTGGACAAGCCACTTATCCAGGAGACAGTGACTCTACCTGTGGGTTTGTTAATTTTCATTCCTCATGTGTCATCACATTCTTGGTCAATGGCCCTGAGTGCTGTGGGGCTCAAACTTTGAGCTGTCTGACTCCAAAACCCATCCCCTTCAAGTATATCCTGAAACATGTACCTGAAATAGGAGTGATCCTGGAAGAGAAATGCTCAAAGCAGCTTTCTCCTGTTGCCAGAGAACAAAGAAACTGACAGGGGCAAAATCATGGCATATGAAGAATTTCACCACCCCTATTGGGAGAGGCTAGAGATTCTAAGATGTGTCCCTGTCATCAACTGCCTGTATAAGTTCTGTCCCCACACTTCATGTTCCACCATGGCTATGTCTATTGGTAACTGATTCCTTGGTGAGTCCCAGGAGATGGAGGGGAAGATTAAGTCCTCAATTTTGCCTTCAGTGCAGGAGCCTTTGGGATGCAGTGGGGAGCCATGGGTTGCAGGGCCAGAGGCCCCTTATCATGAGGAGGTGATAAGAAGAACAAGGGTTGAAATTGGAGCTGTATGCTCATCTCTTCGCCATTTCTCTGTCTTCCTGCCCTAGGGCTGTCGGTGCTCCTGATGTTGTCTTCAGTTCTGAACTCTAGCGGTGAGTCTGCCCAGCCAGTCCCATTAGTGACATAAGCTGAGGAGTGCATCCAGGAATCTGGGTCCTCTCACAACAAAGTAGGGAAAGCAGGCTTATCTGCATGTCTCCAAGATAGACCTCTGGAGATAAGAGAAGCAGTTTGTTCATCTTTAAATGTCCAATTTTCTGAGCTCTTTCTTTTTGGGTGACAGTTAACCTTTTCTTCTCTCCCCTCTTCTACACTTGGATCCCAAGCGGGGATCTAGTTCCTACAGTCTTTGGACCTTCTGATCATAGTGTCTGTCCCCACAGCCTCTGCAGCTGCAGCCTGTGCTCCGTGGTGCCCTCCGAACTCCACATGTGTCAGTGCCACTGCCTGTCGTTGCCTTCCGGGATTCAGTTCTTTGTCTGGAGAGATCATCACCAACCCGTCGGAGAGCTGTGATGGTACGGAGACTTGAGGAGTGCTGGAGGGGTACACAGGGATTGTGATGCCTGATCCAGTGCCTGTGGGGCGGAATCTAACTGTCTTCTGATTAAGCATCAGGCTTAATGCTGGTGCATCAGATAGGGGATGGAGATCTCTGCCCTGTGGAGACCCACATCTCTAGGAGGTGACACTTTGGCCTGCTGTGTTCCAGACATCAACGAGTGTGGGCCACCCCTGACAGTGTCCTGTGGGAGATTTGCAGACTGCCAGAATACTGATGGGGGCTACCACTGCACGTGCATCCCAGGATATGAGCTTGTGTCTGGGGGAACAACATTCAGAAATGAGAGTGAGAACACGTGCCACGGTAAGAGTGACCCTGACTCTTCCACCTCCTCAATGTTTAGGGTACAGCCTGTGATTACAGTGTGATGATTTTATGTTTTTTCTTTTTTCTTTTTAAAGAATCCCTTTTACAAATGAAAACAAAAGTAGATTTTGCCTTTTGTTAACTTATGACTTTCACACTACTTTTGCCAATCTGTGCCTTGTTTTACCCATTTGCAAAAGAGAGGTGACAATGGTCCTTATTTCAGAATTGCTGGAGAGTATGTAAAATTACAAAGCACAAAACAATGATGGTTGTTGGTATTTTAGATTAAATTATCATTACACCCTCTCCAAAATGGGCATCGTTGGGGGCCATGCTGCTCCAGTGTGACCCCTCACCCCCACCCCCCAGCTTCACCCCTTGCCATGGCTGTGTCTGATGACTTTGGGCCCAGGAGGAGCTGGGCTTCCAGACACCAACAGGCGTGGCCCCTTTTCCAGGAGAGCAGGCAGGCAGGGGTGGGGGCTTTAGGCATCCACAGGGACACACAGGACTAGCAGTGGTGTGTAGGAGCCATGACTTCCCCAAGAGAGGTTAATGCAGAACACAGAGAGCAAGAGGGTGAAGCACCTGCATGAGGTACAGTGGAAGGGCTCCCCACCTGGGTGCTGCTGGTCCTCAGAGGCCTGTGGGAGAGTGTTGTGCACATCCATGTGGCCTGGTCACAGGACACAGTGTTCATTGGAACTGCTAAAAGGCTTGTCATCACCTCCAGGTGAACACTGTGTTTGGGGAATGGAGAGAGGGCTGGTTTTCAGCCTTTACTTACCTCTTGCCAGATGCCTTTGTGCAGTGAGCAAGTGGCACAACCAAACATGGTGGTTGTGAGTCCCCCTCAGTGTGCCTGGGCTGGGGGAGCTCACTACCTGTTGCAGGTAGTGCTGGTGGTTACTGAAGATGTGTTGTGTGAGAACAAATGGGGGCTGAGAGAAGAGGGCCCTGGCCACTGCTCAGAGACATGGAGCAAGATTGAGGTGGGAAAAGGACCCCCATGCTCTTCAGGGTGGGTGACAAGGGAGAGCAGCCTGCTGGTGGGGACCAGAGCCTGACACCTGGAGCCCTAGCTCTGTGACGGGCACAGCTGGGCTGTCTGTGTCTCGCCCCTCCCTCAGCATTCCATCCCACTGTCCCAGGAACACCTCTACCCATCATGGCAGCAGGGCCTGCTATGGGTGGGAGACCTTGGCCACACCCTGAGCTCCTCACCCCTCTTGCTTAGATGTCAGAGGACACCTTTGATCTCCCTATCCTCTCTGAACCCCTAAGAGCTGTGTGATGGTAAGGAGATTTGGGGAAACTGGAAGGGCACATGGTGATTGTGGGGATTATTTTGTAGTCTCCTGAGCCTCAGCCCTGATAGCCAGATAGAAGCATGTTGTCAAGGATAGAAGACAGGGGACAGGTCAGCGATATTAGAGGAAAATGGGCAGTCAGGTTCATGACCAGTGGTCAGAGTGATCAGAGCTTACCCATTGGTGCTATGTAGGTTCCCAGTCTAATCTGTCACTGACAGGCTCTCTGATATTTAGGTAATTATTTCTCTTCTCTCTTTCTAATTTTGATGTCTGTACATTGTGTGTGTGGATCCTCATGGATGGAATGAGATTTAAAATTCACCTGTGTAACCCAAATGTCCAAAAATAGATGACTGGATCAAGAAGATGTGGCATATATACATACACTGGAATATTACTCAACAATCAGAAAAGATAAATTCATGCCAGTCGCAGCAACATGGATGGAGCTGGAAGAGATCATGTTAGTGCAATAAACCAGAAGGAAAAAGAAAAATATCAGATGATTTAATTATAGGAGGAATATAGGGGAACAAAATAAAGGATCAGGAAAAAAAAATCACCAAAGTTAACAAACAACTAAAATCAGAGACATTCTGCAGAGGAGGGGGAGAGAGAGGGATCAAAACAAGGAAGGGAAGAGCACAAGGGGAGAGCACAATGGTGATTGTTTACAAGTGAATTGGTGGTGGAATTTTATAGGAACTACACCTGAGGGGAGAGAGCATACATTGTACAAAAATGAACAACGTTGTAAAAAAAAATATATCAATTAATTAATTAATTAAAAAATAAAATTCACCTGTGTAAAGAACAGGCAAAGACTAGTATAGTGAACTATACTATTATCTTTGTTACTGCTATTGTTCTCATTATTTTCATAGTACAAAGAAAGGGAGAAATAATTGAGGCAACAGGGGGAAAGAAACACACTAGCCTGGAAGCTTAGACTCTCATCTAGCCCAAGTTCACAGAGAAGTCCTGCCTACTCTCAATCATGGTTTCCCATCTCACTCCTCGCAGCAGCCCCACGAGGCAAGGGGGTGAACATCGTTTCTGAGGTGATCTAATTGGGATCAAGGAGTTTGAGTGACTTTTTCAGTCACATAGATATTTAGGTGATAGAACCTAGATCTGAGTCTAAGACAAAGGAGATTTATTTTTCAACAACACATGATCACAAAAGAAAATTATACTATTTAAAAATCAGTAGAATGGTAAGCTCTGTAACATGCATTTAACCACAATTAAAAAAACAGGGAAAGGACAATTACATTGTTTTTACACAAAGAAATACTCTTCACAACTCAAAATAGTCTAGCTGCATATTTATTGGTAAAGAAAAATGTTCCTAATATAATGGGAAAGATAAAAAAAATATTTATTGTAGAGCTGCATATTGGAAATGACTTCATGAGGAAATATGTGTTTTGCTTTACTCACAGAGCTGTATGTTAGACATATGGGAAAGAACTGCAAGACAGCTGATTAAAAAAAAATTGGAAAGATCTAAAGTCAACTTTTTTCCCTTAAGGAAAAGAAGAACCCTGACAAAATTTCCAGCAGCTTTTATATGATATCTGCATGTGATTTTCTAGTTTTATTTTTTATATTGTCTTTATCTTCTAACCACCCATTTGTTATTTCATATTTGGGGGGAATGTAGAATTTTCAGGGAAAAAATTAGATATTGTGACTACATCCCAATTCACCTATGTCCAGGGGGTTTTCCAGAGGTTCCTTTGTGGGTGCGTGTATGTGTGTGTGGCTCACTTGTGTTGGCGAATGTGGACAAGAGGTCTCTCAGCTAATTAATGTAAGCACATCCCAGCTTCTTCCTGGGAAACACCTGCTGGTTGAGGAATTCCCCATTCTCATGTCTTCCCCACATGCCTCATTTTCCATCCTAACCCCACTAAACTCCACCTCATCCTGACAACCTCAAAGACAGGTCTTCAGCCTTTTCCATCAAGTGAGAAGGGAGGAGGGAAGTCCATTGCCCAGGTGATCCCTTAGGTGTGGATCCCTCCCACATTCTGTCCTGCCCTGGTGCTGACACCTGTAGCCTGGACTTAGATAGGATATCTGCAGGTCAGAGAAGAGAACTCTGATTTGGGGGAGACCATTTGCCTCTGAGTCCTTTCGGGTTCTAAGATCTTTTGTCCCCTGACTGAAATGTATGGGACCAAAGTTTCTGTCCCTGTGTTTTGATTCAGGTGTCTATGGTCCTCATTAAGTTGTTGTTTTTAGTCAACGGGTCCAGTCCCTGTTCTGTAGGTCCCAAAGCTACTCAAAGTGGGCCTGTTCAGTGGCAGGCTCTGTTGTCAAATTCATCCCAGTACGCAATTGGAGAAGGTTCAATGAGCTATTTTCTCATTTCACATCTGTGATGGATTCTGATAAGGGGTGACTTCTGCCGGGAGTTAAGATAACAAGACTTTCCCAGAGACATCTCATGTACCTTGAAAAGCCTGACACTGGGGGGTGGGAGAGTTGCTGATAAGTGTAGGTGTGCTGGGATCACTGCTAGTAGGGGGAGGTAGAAGATAGCAGTGTGGAGGATCCTGATGACCTGGTTCCGTCCTCGGCATCAGTGGTGTGAATGACCCTGGCAGCCCCGCTTGTGACTCCCTCCACTGACTGAGCTTTAAGGGTGGCCTTCAGTGTCCCTGTTCCCTTGATGGAACTAGCGCCCAGATTCCTGATGAGCAAACTGCTCCCCAGGGGAGGAGTCTGGAGCCTGAGTCAGGGCCTCTGTTTACCCCACAGGCCTGGAGGGGGGTGCAGGCCTCCTTTCAGCCCCCAGCAGAGTGTCTGAGGCCCCTCCCAAAGCCCCTCCAGAGAGCAGAGATGAGTAGAGCCAGCAGCAGATTTTCTAGACCAGCTGCTCCAGCCAAGCCCAACTGGGAGGCTACCTGGAAGCTGAGTCAGTCCAGTCCTCATGGGAGGTCAGACTGGATTTGGGATCTATGCTGTAGAAACTCATGGGTAGTGACCCTTTGGTCTGTTGTGTTCTAGACATCAACGAGTGTGGGCCACCCCTGACAGTGTCCTGTGGGAGATTTGCAGACTGCCAGAACACTAATGGGAGCTACCACTGCACGTGCATCCCAGGATATGAGCTTGTGTCTGGGGGAACAACATTCAGGAATGAGAGTGAGAACACATGTCAAGGTAGGAGTGACCCTGAGTCTTCTATCTCCTCCATGAGATTTGAAGATGCGCACCCCACTTTCCTCACACACCAGAAGGCACCTGATCCAGAGGCTATTCTGGGCAACAACTTGGTCCCCACACCACTCTGAACCCCCAGTTTCAGAACCCTCATCAGAGTGCTACTTCACAAGTTTGGAGCATGCCCCTTGCCAACCTGGCATCTTATTTTATAAATAGAAAACAGTGGGGTGGCATTCAAGAGACTTAACGAGGTTATGACATTTTCCCAGTGCAATGTCTTCTTTGTCATTGTCTGTGACTGCTGAGATGAGACCTGATCCTACCTTCACCTTTATGGGCTCGGCCACACCAGGAGCCCCTGGATGATGAGACAAGGAACTCTTCCCAGAAATGTGGAAGGGGGAGATTACACAGCAGCAGGCCACATCTGGAGACAATATCTCCTGGCACACTGACCTGACTCCTTGGCTGCTCAACTGTCTAATTTCTCCACCAAGTTTCTGCCATGATCCTTCCCTCCACCTCCCAATAATTTCAATTAACGAGTCTGTGGGAAACTTGGATGACCAGGAGGATGTTGTGTTGATTGCAGGCAGGGTGCTGAGGCCCTCTCCCACACTCTGTGAGAGTTGGAGGGAAGAGGCCCCATCTTTCCACTGGCAAGAGAGGGCATCATCAGGATCACTTTTACATGCCCAACTCTCTCATGGAGGCCAGCCAGGCTCACATTAAACCAGACCACTTGGGAATATAGAGGGAGAATGAACCCCCAGAACGCCTGTCACCTAGTATCCATCAGTACCTGCTGCCCTCTAGCCCTTAGTCCTCACCCTCTATTGGCCTTGCTCAAATGCATGTTCTCACCATTTCTTGCCAGTCCAGGGAAAGTTTTTGTGAGGATCACAAAAAGCACCTTTGTCACCCAAGGCTGCTGGGCTGGATGTCACCCCCACTGTCCATCCCAGCCTGACACCCACTGTCTGGGTGGCTCTGCTCTCTCTGGAATCTTCTTCATTCTCCCTACCCTTTCCTGCAGGCCCATTGAGGGTCCTGGCCCAAGTGTCTATTACTGTCCATCTCCATGGAGCAGAGTCTCAGAGAATATGGAGGAGCACTGTCTTGCCATAGTCACCTGAATTCCAAGGAGAACACAGTGAGCATCATCCTGGGAAAGGAAGACAAAGTCCATCACTGACTTCTAAGATGATCCTGATTGGAAGGCAGCATTTCCCCTCTACTCACTTCCCAGGAAGGGCCACCTGGTCCCTGTCCAAAACCCTAGGCTGGGACACAGGTGGCTGCGATGTCCCTGCTCCAGCTGGGAGCCGCCCTGGGAGGCAGAGGGGCTGGCAGGCAGGGAGGCCTCAGGCTGCTTCTGGACACACCCGGACAACAAAGCATCTAGGTCACCACCTTCACCTACAGAATGGCTCCACTTGAGTAAGAAAAGGCACCCACCACGGAGGAGAAGACAGAGAGCCTACTGCATGCTTCTTTTCCAAGAAACGTGACTGACCCCCAGCCCTGAAATCTGCCCACAGCTGTAGGCACCTATTTCCTTTTCCTTCCCCTTACAGATGTGGAAGAATGTAAGCAGAAGCCCCAAATATGTAAAAGTCGCAGCATCTGCGTCAACACTCAGGGCAGCTACACCTGCAAGTGCTAGCCCGGCTTTGAGCTCAACCCGAGGGACCCAAAGCTGTGCACAGGTAGAGGCCCTGGAGGATGCCGCGAGGCTGCCCTGGAGCTGGGGAAGAGCTGAGAGGTCCTGCCACAGAGGAGGAGGGAGAAGATGCTCAGGTTCCCGCAGTGTCAAGGGCTTGCCGGAGTGCTGCCCAAGGACACGCCTTCCTGGATTGCTCCCCCCCACAGCAGGGAGGGGCAGAGCCTGATGGACCTGAGTTCCCTTTATGGAACTGTCTGTCCCTGTGAGCACCCCCTGGCCGTGCCCCTTTCTCATCTGTCACATCTGAGCACATTTGGAGGAGGGATCACTTCTGGCTCAGAAATGGGGAACCTCTCTAGGGCTAAGGAGGAAGCATTTAAAAGCCTTGAGCAGGAAGTCCACCTCCCATGAGGCCAAGTTTCCCTCTTGGCCTCAGTTTTCTGCTTCAACCGGGACACTGTCCCTGCTGAGCCCGTCCCAGCTTTGGCAGAGGGGACATGGCAGCACTCTCAGGGCAGGTATGTCCTCGGTGCAGGCAGGATTGGGGCCCAGGTTGGGCAGGGCTGACTCTGGTCTTGTCCTAATAAGGGGGAGGCAGCTCTGCTTGGCAGTGGTGACTCAGCCCCACCCACCACGTTCACGTGGAGCAGCCTCAGTGCCACAACCTCCCTGGTTGGAAGATCCTCACAGGTTCAGCCAACCACACCCCCAGCCCCGCCCTGCACCACAGGGGAAGCTCAGCTTCTCTGGACCACACAGTGCCCACTGTACTGCTCTGACCCCTTCAGGGACGCGCTGAGCTCATGGAGTTTTACGGTGAAGATGCCATCACAAGGCTGTACCCTGACAGCCAAGTGGCTGAGAGAGAGCGTGTGGGTGGGGAAGCTCCTGAGTGGGAATGCTGAGGAATCTGAGGGGCAGAAAGGATGATGGCCTGATTGGAGGGAGGCTGACCTTCTGACTTTGTCCCCACATGTGAATGAATGTTCCGGGGGTCTGAACACCTGCCACCAGACCACCCACTGCCTGAACTTCGTGGGAGGCTATGAGTGCCGCTGCCGCCCTGGCTGGAAGCCAGTCCCTGGGTCCCCCAATGGCCCAAACAACACTGTCTGTGAAGGTGCAGAGCCAAGGTCCCCCTTCCCGGGACCACAGCCCACACCTGATCTCAGTCTGTGCCTGACCATGGTCCATACCTGATCACACATCAAACAGTGTGAAAGGCTTTAGAAAATAAATGTGGAAACATCTGGGGGCTCTGAGGAAGAAACCAAGGGGAAGGATCCCCCAGGGCCCAGGCAGCTGATTTTTAACTGAGAGGAAGATATTTCAGTATTCTCACAACCAGCACATCTGCACGGGGCTCAGGTCCGGCATGCGGGCCTCGGCCCCATTCCCATGAGCCCCAGGCCTCCATTCAGGGATGTGTGGGAACCAGGTGGCATCACCTACAGTCAGTGGGAGTGGGGGACATTTAGCCTGGAAGAAATGAGAGGGGCACAGACAGGGGAGGGGCCTGACTCCCTTCTTGTCTCCAGATGTGGATGAGTGCAGCTCCGGGCAGCACCCGTGTCACACCTCCACCCACTGCGTCAATACTCTGGGGTCATACAAGTGCCGCTGCCCCCAGGGCTGGGCGCCCAAACCTGGATTCTCCAATAACCAGAAAACCACTGTCTGTGAAGGTACCTGGTCCCACCTGACCCAGACCTCCCTCTCCCTCCAGGGAGTCTTACACCTAAAGATCTACTGTCTGTCCCTAGCGGAGATCTTCCCCACCTGACTCCCAAACACCTGGAGTCAACATTTTCACCATCCACAAGGGGCTCCTGTGCTGACTGTCCCCTCTGCACAAGCCCTTGGTTCTGAGTCTACGGCTCAGGGATGTGTGGTCACCAAGTGGCTCATTTCCAGCCAAATAGGGTGGGTGGGAGGGTTGGGGGTTCAGGCGGCACTTCCACTCTGAAGGGAGTGATGCACAGACAGGAGAAGGGCCTGACCCCCTTCTTGTCTCCAGAGGTGGAGGAGTCAGCTCCAGGCGGCACCCGTGTCACATCTCCACCCACAGCATCAATACTCTGGGCTCATACAAGTGCCGCTGCCCCCAGGGCTGGGTGTCCAAACTGGGATTCCAGAATAACCAAAAAAACCACTGTCTATGAAGGGATCTATTTCGATTTGACCCCGGACCCCACCCCAAATCCCCAACTCACATACCTAAAGAAGCACTGTTCTGTCCCCTGCAGAGATGTCCTTCCCCACCTGGACACCCCCGCCCCCTTCAATCAAGAGCCAGGTGCGTGGCCCCAGCAGAGTTCAGGAGGCGGGAATGCTTGGGCACAGCATACTGTGACTACCTGTTTTGCCCCATGCTTCTGCACCCACGGGTGATGCTCTCTGATCTTCCCCTCCTCAGAGTCTCTCCCACTTCTTTGAAAGACTCCAGGATCTGGGCAGAAATGTCATGTCAGCCCAGAAAACCATCCGGGTAAGTGCAGTACCCAGGTGGAGGCAAGGTGGAGTATCCCAGACACCTGGAGAAACTGGTGTGGGAAAAGGCTGAGCCCAACACAATGGTACCCTCTCTAAAGGCCCAGGGTGGAGGGTATTGTAGGTAGTAATTTGTTCTCACCGTCAGATTCCCACATATATTGACTAATGGCAGCTCCTCTGGCTGTTTCTGGACTTCGAGTTATATGATCCTTGCATTCAGAGTAGCGTTGACTTCTGAGTGGATCCAGGGCCAAAGACCCAACCTCTGCCATCTTCACCCCCACTTAGATGGTCTCTAGAGTCTGTTCTTTCCTGCCTCATGACCTACTGGCTCTGTGTCTGCATCCCCCTAGGACATCACACAATTGGTGGATAATCTGCTGGACAACCCAGGGGACTTGGAGACCCTGCCCTACTCAGAGCAGCACTGTGTGGCCACTAACTTGCTTGCTGGCCTGGAACATGCGCTGACAGGCCTGGGCAAGGCCCTGCCCAATGGATCACTGACGTTCAGTTCACCTGCAGGCACAGGTAAGCACCCAAGGCCTGCTCTGCCCACTCCTGGCCTCATTCCTCTTCTAGTCCCTGTGAAGCTGAGTGAGCGCATTTGCATCTCAGTGTTTAATCTCATAAACTAAAATAAAAGGTGAAGGAGAAATGACCAATACTGTAAAGTGTGTGTGTGTATATATATATATTTTAATATGTTATCAGCACAAGAAGTAATTTTAAAGAGAAATTTAAGATAAAGTAGAAGAAGCTTCAAAGACAACACTGTTAAATTATAAAAATGTAAATTTATATTATTTTACATTAAGTATGATTTGTTTTATTGAGGCAAGTTATAGCATAAACTTCACCATTTTAAGCAAAGTATATAATTCAAGGGCATTGAGTACAGTCACAGAGTTGTACAACCATCACCTCTATTCCTAAAATTATTCCATCAGCTCAGAAGTGGACATTGCACTAACTAAGCAGTCTCTCACTGCTCCTTCCGTCCCCCAAGCCGTGGCAACTCTAGTTTGTTTGTCTCTATGGATTTGTCCAGTCTGAACTACTCATATAAATAAGATCTTATATGACTTAATAATGCAACTATTTCATCTGGCATGACTTGAGTCTTCTCCATGTTGTAACATGTATCATTATTTAGTTCCTCTCTATGGTTGAGTAATATTTCATTGTATATGGATACACTTCATTTTGTTTATATTCTCATGGACTGGTGGACATTTGGGTGTTGCTACCTTTTGACTATTTTGAATAGTGTTACTGTAAATGTTGGCCTATAAATTTTTGTTTGATTAACTGTTTTCATTATTTTACATATACATTTAGAAGTGGAATTGCTGAGTGATATGGTAATTCCATGTTCAACTTTTTGAGGAAACATGAAAGAATTTTTCCGAATGTCTGTAGCATTTTACATTTCCACCTGCAATGTACAAAACCTCCAATCTGCATACCTTCAGCAACACTTTTTATTTCCACCTTATTTTATTTTTTGTAAAGCAGTATCTCACTGGGGTCTTGATTTGCATTTCCCGAATGCTAGTGATGCTCAATCTCTTTCCATGTGATTGTAGGATGTTTGTGTATCTTGTTTGGAGAAATGTCTATTTAAATCTCTTGCCTGTTTAAGAAAAGATTGGTTATTTGACTTTGGATCACAGAGTTGTAAGTGTCCTTTGTATGTTCTGATAATGAACCTTATGAGATGAATCATTTTCAGTTATCTTTCCCCATTCCATTGAACAGAGGTTTTAAATTTGGATGAAGTCAATTTTATCTATTTTTCAACTAGGTGCTTGTTCATTTGGTATCATATCTAAGAATCTACTGTCAAATCCAAGGTCATAAAGATTTAATGTGTGTTTTCCCTAGTATCCTAATTTTAGCTTTTAAATTTAGATCTGTGTCCCAATAGAGTTAATTTTGTGTATTGTACAAGACAGAGGTCCAGTTTTCTTCTCATATATGGATATCCAGAGCCACAATACCACATGTTGAAGAGAACAAACTTTCCCCTATTGAAAGTTCTTGACATCCCTTGTTGAAAATCAATTGATCATAAATGTAAGGGTTTATATTTTGACTTTAGATTTAATTTGTTTATCTGTATAATCTGTCCTTATGCTACTATCACACTATTTTACTTACTGTAATATGGTAGTAAGTTTGAAATCAGAAACCGAGTTCTCCAATAAAGTTTTTCATTTAAGAGTAGGCTCCTTGAAATGTGATGTGACTATTAAGATGAAAATTTCCAATTCTGAAAAAAAATTGAGAATTCTGTTGGGATATTGATAGTATTACAATGAGTGGTTTCTTTCACTGTACAAAGATTTTTTTAATAAGTCCCTTTTATTGTTTTTATTTCCTTTGCCATTCCTTTATTTCCTTTCCCTAAATACATCTCTGAGGTTAATGTCCAGGAGTGTATTGTCTATGTTTTTTTCTGTGTATTTTGTGGTTTCAGATGTTATATACAAGTCTTTAATTAAGTTTGAGTTAATTTTTGTGAGGGAGTTAAGTAAGGATCTAATTTCTTTCTTTTTTTTGCACGTGGCTGTCCAAGTTTCCCATTACCATTTGTGGAAGAGGCTTTCCTTTCTCCATTGTATGGTCTTTACTCCTTTGTCACTGACCATATTTGTGTGGGTTTATTTCTGGGCTTTTGATTCTATTCTATTGGTTCTATGTTTCTGTTTTGTTTCAATACATTACTGCTTATATTACTGTCACTTTATAGAATGGTTTGAATCCAGGGAGTGTGATACCTCCATTCTGTTCCCTCAAGATTAATTTGGTTAATTGAGCTCTTTTGTGGTTCCATACAAATGTTATAATTGTTCTATTTCCTTGAACAATGCCATTGGGGTACACATAGATATTGCATTGAATCTGTGAATTGCTTTAGGTAATAGAGACATTTTTACAATTTAGTCTACCAACCCATGAACATTTGATATCTTTCCATTCCATTGGCCTTTTAAAATTTCTATTAATGTTTTATAGTTTTCATTGTATAGATCCTTTACCTCCTTTGTTAACTTTTTTCCCAGGTATTTCATTCTTTTTGGTATTTTGCTTTCTTAATTTCCCTTTCCTTTAATTTATTGTTTGCATATGCAACAGATTTTTGTGTATTGATTTTGCATCCTGACACTTCATTAATTTATTTTTTCTAGCAAATTTTTTGGGGTAGTCTTGGGTAGTCTATGTATAATATCATGTATTCTGAGAATAGTGATAGTTTTATATCTTCTTTTCTAGTTTGTATTCCTTTTCTTCTTTTCTTACAAATTGCTCGGGACTCCTAATATTAGGTTAAGCAGTAGTGGTGATGGTGTATATCCTTGCCTTGCTCTGATCTTAGGGGAAATGTTTTCATCATTTATTATGATGTTTGCTGTGGATTTGTCATATATGGCCTTTATTATTTTGAGGCGTGTTTCTTTTGTTACCAATATTGAGAGTTTTTATTACAAATGGATGTTGAATATTGTCAAATGCTTTATCAGCAAGTATTGATATGATAATATTATTTTATCTTGCCTTTTGTTGCTGTGGTGAATGACATTGGCTTGAATATGCTTGCATCTGTGGTCATGATATGTGCTTCTCTTAATATATTATAGGAATAAATTTCCCAAGATTTGTTTCGGATTTTTGCATCGATGTTTATCAGATATATTGGTCTACAGTTTCTCTTTTGTGTGTGTGAATGTGTGTGTGTAGTGACTTTCTCATTTTTGCATCAGGGCAATGTTGGTGTCCTGAAATGCTTTTGAGAACTTTACCCCCTCTTCAATTTTTTGAAGAGTTTGAGAAGGATAGGCATTAGATTGTCTTTGATAGTTTGGTAGAATTCACCTTGAAGCTGTCTGGTCCTGGCTTTTTTTTTTTAGGGAGACCTTTGCTTCCTTTTTTTATTTCTATATTTGTTTGTTTGTTTTCTTAAAGAGTTATTTATTTATTTATACAAGCACTGGGTACAGTCAGAAGCGCAGGAGGGTGAGAGAATTCACCAGAGCCAGAGCCAGGGGCAGAACAGGCAGACTGATGAAATACACTGCTGAGGGGAGCAGTGGGCGGCAGGAGAGGTCTGCGAGCCATGTGGGACCCTCGCCAGCGGCCAGGGATCAAACTGGCACTGCAGAGGTGCAGGCAGCTGCGCAGCCCAGCGCTCAACAGCTGCGCCACCAGAGGAGGCCCTAGTTCTATATTTGTGATTGGTCTGTTCAAGTGCTACAAGAATTATCAGATGCTGCTGGAAGAGGAGTCTGTCTCATCCTGGTTCAGTCTTGGAAATTTGTATGATTCTAAGGTTTTGTCAATTTCTTCTAGATTGTCCTATTTTTGTGTATGCTTGTTCATAGTAGCTTATGATTCTTTGTATTTTTGTGGTATCAATTATCACTTTGCCTCTTTTATTTCTGATTTCTTTCATTAGGGCTTCTTTCCCTCCTTTTTCTTAGTGACTCTAGCTTATCAATTTTATTTGTTATTGGTTTCATTAGTTTTTAATCATCTTTTTGGTTTCTGTTTTATTTTATTTCGCTTTGATTTTTATTCTTTCCTCCTACTCATTTTTTGGTTTGTGTGCTTTTCTTTTTTGATATTCTTCATTTGAGTTTAGATTGTTTGAGTATGTTCTTGTTTCTCCTTTACTAGGTCATTACTGTGATTTTAACCTTCAAATTTAGTAATTATCCCCTCTTCAATATTTAGCCTGTTGTTTTAATTTCCATGGAAGTTTTAATTTCATCTATTAAGTTTTCACTTACAACATTTCTGTTTGGAATTTTTTTTATTTTTTAAAGATTTATTTATTTATATGTACAAAACCTGTGGTACAGGCCAGAGGTGTGGAGGTGTTGGCGAGATGATTCACCAGAGACAGAGCGGGGAACAGAATAGGCAGACTGACTGAAAGACACTGCTGAGGGGAGCAGTGGGCGAGACAGTAGAGGTCTGCTGTGCCATGTGGGTAGCTCCCTGGCCAGCCGGGGATTGAACTCATGGTGCAGAGGCTGCATATAGCTTCACAGTGCTATGCTTAACCCCTTGTGCCACCAGGGAGGCCCTGAAATTTTTTTATAGCCTAAATTTGTTTGGTGAATAATTCCTTCTGCTCCGATATTTCCTTTTTTATTTAATTAATGTTTCATTATGTTAGAGTGAATATCATTTTTTATAATAGTTATTTAAAAATCACTGTATATTAGACCTCTAATTTCTGTCACTAAGAATGTATTCTGAGCATTTATCTTGTTCACTCATTCAGCCACAAGGTTTTACTTTTCTTGACATTTGATGTTTTTCTTAGATGGTGCTGTGGTTCTAGTCTTCAAGTTCTTATTTGTTTTTCATGACTTGAGTGTGAGCAGATGGGCCTTTTAGGGGGTTGCATTTGAGTGACAGTCTTGGGGCAGAAAATAAGCATGGACCTAAAATCCCCTGTTCCTGGATCTGTTCTCAATCTGAGCACAACATCTGCATGGCTAGAATTTTCTTCCAGGTAC